TTAAAACTGTGGCGCCGTGACGTTTTTTGTTATTTTACCCAGAATTAGAAATGTTGTTTTCGTCCCACGTTACGCTAGGAATTTATTCATTGATCATTGAATTCTATTGGGCTAAATAATTGACAAATGTGGACTTTGGAAAACGAAACCTCCACAGCTTTTGAAGCTCGACTTTTTTCCTTCATGGATTCAGGGTTTGCGTTTGTTGACCTTTGCACACAAGTTGGCGAGGCTTCCTTTCAAGTCCTCCTTGTGGTTCCAACGATAGGCGAAGGACCACACATATTGTTGGATTCTTTGAGAATCCTTCCTGGTAACTTTGTCTTTGCTATGAAGAGCGTGTTAAAGAACACAAAAACAGAATGTTACAGCGTAGCACAAGAGACGGTGGCAACTGGACAAGAGACATGGTACAGCGTAGCATCAAGAGCGTGCGGCAAGTGACAAGAGACATGTTACAACCCCCACCCCTGCCCCCCCCACCCCACCCAGTTCCCCAAGAAAATCAGACTATTCTTCGTGCAAAACTTCTATCTGACGGGCACAGCTTCTATCTGACGGGCAAAACTCCTAACTGACGGGCAAAACTTCTAGCTGACGGGCAAAACTTGTAACTGACGGGCAAAACTCCTAAATGACGGGCCACACTTCTAACTGACTGGCAAGACTTCTAAATGACGGGCAAGACTTCTAACTGACGGGCAAAACTTGTAACTGACGGGCAAAACTTCTAACTGACGGGCAAAACTTCTAAATGACGGGCAAGACTTTCAACTGACGGGCAATGGACTTCCAACTGACGGGCAAAACTTCTAACTGACGGGCAACACTTCTAACTGACGGGCAAAACTTCTAACTGAGGGGCAAAACTTCTAAATGACGGGCAAAACTTCTAGCTGAGGGGCAAAACTCCTAAATGACAGGCAAAACTCCTAAATGACGGGCAAGACTTCTAACTGACGGGCAAAACTTCTAAATGACGGGCAAGACTTTCAACTGACGGGCAATGGAACAGCAAAAAAGTGGCAAAACCTGCGGGTCCCTTAACAGCGCCGGTAGCTCAAACCATGCCATGTTTGTTTTCATGGGCTCAGCGCAACGCTGGGTCCATGTCGTGCGATACCGCAATGCTTTTGGAGGGTCTTGGATCTCCAATTATTACGCTAGAAAAACGCAGTTCATTAGCCATACCCCCTGGTAAACGTATATATAACTATGGACAACCACCATTATGGGAAAATTAACGAACTACATGGCCATTTTTGATATCTATGTATGTTTACCAGAGGGTAGACTATGAATGCTGCAGAATCCAAACTGAACATAAACATATATCGTCAACGGCCCGTCCCGGTGCAAAAATGGTAGTACTGTCTTCAAGTCACACCATAAGTTAATACAGTTTTCATACACATAGTCAAACACTAGCCACAATATAGTAATGGTCATAGAAAACCCATATGTGATACTTATTGCATTACCGATAGAAACCAATAATAGTATATCACCCATAATGGTCAATAGTATATTAACACCCATTCTTTACCTTTAGTATAGTGCAATAGTAAAATACCTTAGTACAATAGTATAGTTCTTCACCATAGTTAGCTACCCCATAATAAACTTAGCCATAATATAATAAGCTTCATAGAAAAATAGTGAGTTCATCTCCCATTAAAATATAATAACCCAAAGTATAAGAATGTATAGTATGTATAGCTGATATAAAACTAATCTCACTGTAAATTACCATTATATATATATCAATTGTCATGGATATCTATTAGTCAAACGATATCATTTGACTTTTTTTTGGTTGCCCATAGGTTTTATTATATATCATCATGGTACCTAGGATTCATTATAATATCATTATGCACAGTATAAGAATGAATACCATTATCATTACCAACTATACATCAGTTAATAATTACCATGATGATACTCATCTCACTATAAATTACCATTATATATCAATTATCATGGATATTTCTTAGTATAATAGTATCTTACCCATAATGGCCAATAGTATTTTAATACCCATTATCATTACCCATAGGTTTTATTATATTTATCATGGTACCGAGCTTTCATTATAATATCATTACCCATAGTATAATGCCCATAGTGTAAGAATGTATAGTATATAAGTATATAACTGATATCAAACTCATCTCACTATAGTTTACCATTATATATATATCAATGATAATGGAAATTTACTAGCCATCTTAGTGGCAATTTATAGCAGAATATATTTTTAGTGGTAATATATATATATAGATACTTTATCATATGGATATTTGTAAGATATACGGGTATTTATGGATACTTTGTTAATTACTATCCCACTATCCATTAAAATTTAAAATTGCTACCCATATTTATAGCATAACATAATAATCATGGTAGCAATGGTAAGTAATTATTAATCATGGATATATACCCAGAATAATTATATATTATTATGCTAATAATGTAATTATAGTATAATACCCATAGTCAAACGAAAATAAAATCTCACTATCAATTTCTATTATATCAATTCTAATTTCTAATGGATATTCACCATCCATAATGGTAATTTATAGCATAATATCTTTTAGTGGTAGTATATATATAATTATATATATATGGATACTTTATCATATGGACATTTACTAGCCATAATGGTAATTTATAGGCTATACCCATCGTCAAACGACCACGGCACGTCAGGCCATCTTCACCTTGGCCCGTCGAGGGGATCTGGGCGCTGTGAAGCGCGCGCTGGAGCTGGATGCGGATCCGAATATCCCGGACACCTTGGGTACCACGGCGCGGTGAGCCGAATCCCATGGGTTTTTTCAGATGCGTTTGGTGACTTCATGGTGATTTTTTGCGGGGATTTCATACGGGTTTTGGGGTTTTTCATGGTGATTTTTAAGATTTCATGGGTGTTCATGGGTTTAAGATGATTTAATGAGTGATTTTATAGGTGATTTGATGGTGGTTCAAAGGGATTTAGCGGGATTTAATGGTGATTTAATGGGAAATAATGCGGTTATAACCGTTATAATAATTGTTGATTGTTCGTATTGGGTTTCCACTAAATTTGTTGAGAAGGGATTATTGCAATCAATAGCTTTGACCAAACCAGTAAAACCAGTTCGCACCCAGGATTTTAAGGCTGCCCAAACTGGGGATTGTTAATTAATGTCTATATATATATATAATTGAATAAAATTGATATCATGCAGAAACAACATGTTTTTCTGACACAATTTGATCTATGATCTATGTATAGTTCGTTTAGGGAGATTCCAATGTTGTGGGTTGCAGGTGGCCAGGTCGGAGGTTCAATGTATGGTAATGGGGTATCTTGATGGGTTTTTAATGGGATTTGACGTGATTTTATAGTGAATAAGAATTGAAACAACAACATGGGTATATAACATGATATAACTGTGATGTAGCCTTTGGTAGCTTAACACCATTGAAATCGCATACCACTGTAGACAGGTCAGAAATGCTTTGACTTCTATTACCCTGGCCATATGCTGGCAGGAGCAGTTTGGATCCGGATGACCACACACCCACACCCGTTTCAGAGCCACGAGCACAGCACACATCCACCTACCGCCAGCACTGGGGTGAACCGCCCAGTCCACAGGGCACAAAGCACTATGACTATGACCGTGATTTACCAGGCACATTCCAGCCGGACAAGCAACATTTTCACACCTTGCCAAGCAACACTTCGACCTCATGTTTCCATGCCAAATCACAGCCACAGCATGGAGCCAGAAATGCCAACTAGCAGGCAGACCTGTTGAGACGATTTGTCTCCATGAACTTGCATACATGGGCTGGTCAAACTGGAATTTACGCGCCTTAGCAAACGGCAAACTCACATCACTTGTTTGCCCGCAGCTTTACATATCCGCAGCATCAACACAGCACAAGCTATCAGCAGTCTGATCCCTTCGACTTCCCCTTTAGCTCGCCTTCTCAGCTCGCTGCTGGCCCAGTTAGTTCGATGATCTACCCATTGAAAATGGCGATTTTCAATAGCTACGTTAAACTACCATAGGTTAGTTGATGAGGTTTAAAAACCAACAAGCATAACTGGGATGCACCACCTTGTGCGGCGGGATGAATGCTTCATGATCGGCTGATTTATATACCATAAAAAACCTTGGTTTTCACGGAAGTTTTGAAATTAATGATGTGTAATTTAACCACAAACATGTGTTTTGTAGTTGATCTATGACAGTTAGCTAAATTGTAAATCATGATATTTTGTATGAAATCACCATATATTATAATACCCACAATATCCCACAAAAATTCTCTGTTCCCATCATATTCCCAAACCGTTGCATGATGATATCAATGACCCTTGTTTGTGGCATGATCAAGCCTTGTCTTTTGATATTCTTATGATTCTCATGAGCGTTGTTTATTCTTATGGTATCCTCGTGAGATTCCGTCGGAAATCCACAGGGTTTAGCAGCCGCCCTTCGCATCATCTGAGCGCTTGGGGGATCATCCCACGACTCGCAACGTGGTTAGTACCAGCCATTTATAAATCTGGGTAAATTAAAACGACCTCACTGCGACCTCACTGGAAATCATGCTTAATAAGGGGAATCATCCCCAAATGGCCTTAATTCAGGTTAGTGAAGTATTATAATTTACCAAGATAAATGGCTTTCCTCTCCTTCTTCCTCTCCTTTTTTCCTTTCCCTTCCTTTACTTTACTCTTCCTTTTCCTTCTCTGTTACTTTTTCCTTTCCTTTTTCTTTCCTTTTTCTTGTCCTTTCCTATTCCTTTCCTTTTCCTTTCCTTTTCCCCTCTCCCTTTCCTATCCTTTCCTTTCCCTTCCTTTACTCTTCCTTTTCCTTTTCCCTTTCCTCGCTCATGTGAATCCTTTGGTCAAGGTGTGAAGCCAGCGCTTGGAAAAACGATAAGAAAAAAAGGATACGTGTGAAAAAACAATTTGAAAGGGCTCGGGGTTTTACAAAACCCAATTTTTTTAATGGGATAATCCCATTTATACTGGGGTTAGTTCAGCATTTATAAATGGGATAATCCCCAAATGGGGACTGAATTATCACACAAGGATTCTTTTCATCACAATCCGTGATTCTCCATATTTCTCCATTTAAAGACATAGGAACCACCAATGACTCATGGTAATGTCAGTAAAGCAATGTTACAAACCACCCATAAGCAATGCTGATGGTTTCTTACCACTTTTTTTTGTAATTTTTGAGATGGTTTACGTTTTCCTTCCTAACATTATATCGTATATTTTCAGGTGACTTAGATGGGAAATCGAACATGAACCCAATGATGTGGAGATTTACGCGAAAGAAAACCCAGTATATTCCAGGAACGTCCACCATTATTTTGCCATGTTCTCTTTATCTAGGTCAATCTTAGATGGGTAGAAACTAGTCTTCTAGTCTTTTGGTATCAATGGGTTTGTCTACCAACCAACAAAAACAAAGCAGGGTATCTAAGATTGGCACTGTTATCTTTTTTCTTTATCTGCTGATAGGATCCATAAAATATCAGCCATGATATCAATGGTATCCCACTAAATATTACCATCAATCACTATTATATCCATCATTCATCACTCATCACCACTAGAATTATTAAAGAATATACTATATTTAATATTCATCACTCTCCATGTTCACTTAAATATGACTCATCAATACTCATCACAAGATTATATTATCATCCCATTAAATGTGATGAGACCAAAATATAAGATGAATCTGGGATTATTCAACCAATTTTAATGGGATACTTTAGCTAAAGGGATATAACAAATGGAAATCACCATGATATTTTTCGCCACCCTGTGATCACTATAATCCACTATATTTCACTATTTAGCACCATAATCTCAATTTCATTATAATCATCCACTATAATCCATTATATTTCACCTAAATATTACTCATCACCATGAATGGCTGGAATTCATAGCTATTGAAATTCACCATTTTAATAGATAAATGAGCTATAAATGGTCCATTATACTAGGTCAATCTTAGATGGGTACTTTAGTGCTTTAGTCTTTTGATATCAATGGGATTATCTACGTTCACCAGCTAAGAATTTGTCATTTTTTGTAGGGTATCTAAGATTGGCACTGTTATCTGTTTTCTTTATCTGCTGATAGGATCCATAAAATATCAGCCATGATATAAATGGTATCCCACTAAATATTTCCATCAATCACTATTATATCCATCATTCATCACTCATGATATTTTTCGCCACCAAGGCATCCGACCCTTGACCTACGCCGCGGGCAACGACTTCGACGAGGTCTGCCTGACGCTCATCGCCGGCTCCGCCGACGTGCGGGCCCAGGTGGGAGCCAAAGAGGCGCGGATGGAAAGGTTGGGGAAATCCCTATGGAAAAATCCTACAATGTGAGGCCCCCGTTCGATAGCTAAGTTGGTGCAAATAACTCCAATTTCACTATGGTTTATGGTACTTATAACTATAGTTACTGGGGCGAATCTTAACCAACAAACATCACTGGGGGGGCCTCACATTGTAGGATTTCATATGGGAAAATGGGAAATTCATCTATAATTGAATTAATTAAATTTTTAACTGAATGGGATAATTATAAATGATGATATACTGTATATATGATGATTGATGGATACTTAAATTAGATTTAATCTATTCTTGGGGATCATGAAGAGGATTTCATGGATTTTTTCTTTGAGTGTCCCGATTTCATCTCGATAATTCATTGGATTCCATGTGGAAATTACATCTTTACTGGGATAATTTGATGGGATATCATCGTAAATTGGGATTTCTATAGGCATGAATGGGAAATCATCTTGAAATCGTGAGATTCGATATGAGTGATATGAATAGTTGTATTTGATTGGTGAATGACTGTGGCAAACACAATTTTCGTAGGGTTGCCAATGATGCTAATGAAATATATACAATGTTTTTTGTGGGAAATAGTTTAATGAGAAATAACGGCTGATTTATCCACCATCAATGGGTTTTCTATGATTCGATTTAGGATTGAAAAGGATGCCCTTTGTCATGAAATCATCGAAGTGAATGGGGGGATTTCCAAACCATGGAGCTGATTACCAGGTAGGAGCTTTGCGAATAAACATAGGGATGATCTGGGATTAAGTAGCAAAATTGAGATTTAAGTAGCAAAAGATGATAAAAGATGGAGGTCCACAAACAGAAATTGTGGATTCAAGATGATTTAAGAATTGGAATTTGGCTAGAATGGGTACTACTTGCGTTTTGCCGCCAAGATGCCTTTTGTAGCGTGGGCATGCGTGGGTCCCGCGGTTGGGGGTCGTCAGTTTTTGCCCGGTTGGCGGATCAATCCTACTAATGCGACGGACGAAACATGTCTCGTATATTTTTATGGAAACCAAAAAGAAATACCCTCTGGTTATGACTAACATAGCCATGGTATAGATGCCCCATAGAAATAGATGATTTTCCCAGCATTAATACCTCCATTTCTGGTTGGGATTTTCCATGGCGAACTGTTAAATAGCCAGATGGTAGTGATTGAAACAACAAACATCTGCTTAAGTCCCATTTCTTGCAGGGCATAATTTTTTTTTTGACGGGTCACATCCCTTTGTTTGGTGGTTACCCTCTGGTGAACTAACATAACTATGGAAAATCACCATTTTTAATGGGAAAATCCACTATAAATGGCCATTTTCAATTGCTATGTTAGTTTACCAGAGGGTACATCCTGATTTGTGTTGGTGAAACACCAATTTTTGCTGATTGAATCACAAGTTCTTGTTCGACAAACTGCACATATCCGTACATTTTGGTTCACAATTTCTGTAGCTTACCAACCAACAGACATTTCAGTGAGGTAAATTGCTAACTTGGTGCAAATAACTCCGATTTCACGTTTGGGTTTATGGAGGATGTATATGATATAACGTTTGGGCCAAGTTGGTTTATAACATTTGATAACTAGGTTAACTATGGTTTATTACATCTATAATTAATATGGTTTAAAATGTTTAAAACCGTGAAAATTGTCGTGGCTTCAATTCCTCTGTTGTTGTTGTTGTTGTTCCTGGAAGCCCAAAGAACCAGAACTAGCCATGGTCGATGGGTTGGAATTGGGGAAAACTCCATGGGTTTCAGGTTACAAGTCACCGCCACAAGGTGCTCGTTTCCCGGTGAAATGTTTGTTGCTTTGTAAAGCACGATAGCTATAGTTATATAATGTTGTAAATGTAATACTGGTTGGTGGTTTGGAACATTTTTTATTTTTTCCCATATATTGGGAATAATCCTCCCATTTGACTAATATTTTTCAGAGGGGTTGAAACCACCAATCAGAATAAATCATAGTCACCAGAGTTATGTTAACCAACTTAGCCAACACAAATCAGCGATAACTCACATCAAATCCATGGAACATCGCATATAAATCAGATGAATTCCTCTCATACTCCCAAGAAAATATCCATACCATACCAACTATGATAAACGGTGCCCCACCAACAAAATTCCCCGAAAATAATCTCAAAGTATGTAAAATCCCATATTTCCTAGATGTGATGCTTAAAATCCATGGAAACCCCCACGAGTTTCCCATGGATTTCCCATGGATTTCCCATGAAACGGCTGGGGGCCCCAGCTT